TTAATAATTGTAATAAAGCAATACAGTGTCTTCAGCTCACCAAATATTTGATGATGTGAACATGATCTGCAATGTTCTCCACAAATTTAACTGCCAACTTCTCTTGGGCTGCAGTAGTCCAAAGAAGAGTTTAACACATTAGCAAGAAAAGTAATACCTACAGGAAAAGCAAAGTCTCTCTGACAGAGAAAAGTTTGCAAAATCTCATGGGAAGATTAATATAGCCTGAGCTTAATGGATCTATAGATTGCAAGTAATATTTTGTGGTTGGAAAGAGGGGAATCAATATATTTACTTTCTATCTCTGCTGTCACCTGTGGGCATCACATTCAAAGGGTCTGGTGTTTTGATTTCCTACTGAATGAGAGAACATGGAGTTTGGAGCACAAACAGAATAATTGTGTAAGAGATATGGATTTTCTTTATAAATAAAAAATCCAAGGTGCCTTCAAGCCATTTCCCCCTTCTTAAAGGCTGCATCTGACCTTTTAAGATTCAAAAGGTCTCTGCTTCTGTAGATGCAGTTAAAAGGTTGAGCAGTTAGGGCTATTTATCTATCTAAGGAGAACTCCTCAACTGGTGTAAATTGGTGTAGCTCCATTAAAGTTAATGCCAGCACACCTGCCTGCATGAGTGTAAGTTCAGTTCCATGCAGCTTACCGCAGCCCACCAGGACATCCTCCCTGTTCAGCTCTTTAGAGGGAAAAAAGCCTATATCTTGCCTACCACAAATGTGAACCCCATGTGTTAGTTATTAATGCTTTTTTTTAAAGGGTCTGGGCCCTTTTATTCTTTGTCACTTGTACTTCTGGGCATGTTTATCACAAATTAATGGAAATTAAAGATGGAGATGCTTTGAGGCCCATCTTTTGTTGACTTGCACAATCGTGCGGTAGGTGGCAAGACACATGCCTGACGGTCACTTCTTTCGGTGCCCTTTATGCAGTGCTGCCTTTTGAAACAAATGGACTCCTTCTATGTGCCCCTATCATCCTCCACCTCCAAAAAGTATGGTAGATGCATGCAGAGCATTTTCCGTCTGCTCAGCTGCAAAAGTAATGGAAGATGGACAGCCAGTGTAGGGTGCTACTCTGGTAGGCAACTCCCACCTCCCCCCTTGCTCCATCACCTGCAACTCTAGGCAGTTCGTCTGCTATCATGGATTTGAAGACATACAAGTAATCTCTGCACTCCTGTAGCCCAGGAAGTTTACTTAAAGCAAGAGTAAAGATTATAAAATGATGCAAATATTCTGAGCCGGTCAAAAGATATGGAGGCATTTTGGGGTAAATTGAGGAAATGTTGCAGTTCTTATTTCCACATTTAAAGATGAACATATTCCGTGGTTTTCCAGATTTTTTTGTCCCTGTTTACTGTTTTTCATTCTTTGTTTTCTTCTTTTGTTTTCCCCTCTTTTTTTTCATCCAGTCCTTTTTATTTTTTATTTTTTAAGTCATTTTTAGAAGGGCCTGAGATGCGTGTAGGCAGGGCTGATGAAGGGCCTGGGCTGTCCTAGCTAAAAGGTGACAATTTAATTCTTGCTTTTGTGCAAATGGACTTATTTAGAGGAATCCAGACTTGCAAATTGAGAAAAAACATAATCTGGAAGAACTAGCTGAGTAAGGATGTCCTATGGATTTCCCAGTTTGGCAGCAATGAGGGTTTTGTTTCTTTTCCAATACCAAAGCAGTTCTGTGACCTGCCACCCTCAGCAGCAGCCGTACGTATGGACAAGACACTTGCTGCATGACCTAGGACAGTTAGGAGCCCCAAAACAGCTTAGAACTTGAGAAATTCCCTGGGGCTACATCCAACATGCTTTCTCAATGAAGAGAAACTCCAGCAGTCTCCTTAACATTTTTCACTTACATAAGAATGTACATGATACGTGTAATTCCACTGGATGCTGTTGTTCCAAAATTGCACATCTTGTACCTGAGGTATGTGCGTGCCTAGAGTAAGATCCATGTCAGCTACAACTTTTTGGAGAGCCCCAATTACTACAGGGAAGTCACTATTCCTTATATTAATAAATTGAATACGAACATGGGGGATAGAGCAGCCCCAAGTACAGCTTTAATTTCCAGCTTTTTGATACTCATTTTCTATTTCATAAATACATTTCCTGGTTTCCTAAAGCTAATTACTTTCTCTATTAATAGCAAGATCCTGGTTTTGTTTTAAAGCAAAGGTTCATGCAATTAAATCTCAGCAGCAAAGGCCTACAAAATCTGCTCCAAAGCCTCACTTGGCATGTGACCTTCAGCTGAACTGCTTCATTAAGCCGGAGATCTTGGAGACAATGTTTGCTGAATAAAGTCATCCCTAATTAATACTAAAATGTCAAGGATTCATTTGCCATCCCTTTTTGCCCCTTTCCTTTTTACACTTAATTATCTCTTTAATGAGCTACTAATATGAAAGCCAAGTGCAG